AACGACGTTGCAACCGTCGGCCGGGATATCGTGGAGCCGGCGTGTCCGAGACGTCTCTAAGTCCACGGCGGCGTTGACAAGGTAATCTGCGACCTTTTTAATTCACGGGGCTTCCAACGCGCCGGGTCTTCCCAGCGCCTCGGCGGCGCGACCTCCCACAGATCACGTTGCACAGCGGCTGGCAGTCCACGATGAAAAGAAAATGGCATTGACTAGTGTGCCAAGATTGCTTCTCCTCCTCCCGCGCCGGGCCATGGGACCCAGGCGAATTTGACAAATCGTCCGTAACTTTGCGTCGGCGTTTCGCTGTTCATCCATCCGGCAACTCGCGGCATCGCGCTTTCAAGACAAACCGAACACCATCACGAACACATCTTCCCATTCAGCGTATAATCCCACACGCAATGCATGAGCGCAGCCTGCTCCATAACGCCACGAAATTTGAATGTCTTTGACGGTGTTCCACCACAGTCGGTCTCGGAAGCGTCGCGCATTGCCGATGTGCTTAGTGGTTCCCAGGGAACGTAATGAACAATTCCCTCCACGCCTCTTTGAAGACCACCTGGAGTACGCGGTGATGTAGGCACGTGACATGTGCCTCCTGAGCCCATGCCTGATTTAGCGCACTCGTCCGGAACTTGTGATCGATGCCCCTTGTCGGCGTTTCAGCCGCAACGTCTACAACCCTCGTTTTGGCTCGATGCCATTTGAACTCCCCTCGTTTTGCAACCCATAACAAATTAGAAGTGATATGCCAGCTTCCGGCTCAAAAATGCAGCAGAAGTCCCCGGGCCACACCTTCACGCTTTCAGTTTATCAACAACCCCACCCGCGGGCAAAAACGCAGACGCACTAGCCCAGAAACAACCTTCTGCAGTGTGTGAGCGGTACTCAAAGCTAACCACGGAGATCCTGTAGAATTCAATCACGTCCCCAGCGTCCACATGTCAAGCACATGATGTAACTCCAGAGTGGTGTCATCAGGCAGCAGCAACCACATTGATGAAGAGTCAGTCGGGTCGAGACGAAGGTTTCCATCTCAACTTGTACGAACACATCGCATCTGAACGTTCCCGGCCCATGAGCTCAAACTGCTGCTTGGTGCGCGCGATGATAAACACGTTGCCGGCCCAGACCGCATGAGTCACGCGAGTGCCATCACCGACCTCGAACTAGAACTCCCAGTGGGTCCAGCTAACAACAACTGGGGTCAAGACGGACTCAAGGAACACGTTAAACTCGACTGGCGTTTCGACTCCACCCTGCTTCCTCACAGCCTCTCTCTCTCTCTCTCTTGTTTGTATTTGTATATATACCTCTCTCTCGATCCCTCTTCTCCCGCACCCCCGTTCCGCTTCATGTTGATTGTGGTAAGTTTGGTGACGATATCTACCAACCTCTCTCATTTTGCCTGAATATAAAGATGTATATATATACATATATAACGAATGTGTATATACATATATATATATATATATATATATATGTGTCCCTTCCGCTCTCTCTCTCTCTCTTCCTCTTTGTCCCCCCCCCGTTTATCAAACATGGACGGAGGTGGAGAACGACGATGATCATCTGGATGTAATGTCAATTCGATTCCGATCGACATCTCATTGGAAGCCGAACCGAACGCAATCGGAATACGTTGGATCGGGGGCCTGTTCGAGTCCTCATGGAAGCAAGCTGCAACCCGATTCAAACCTGATAAACATACTCTAGGTATGGGATGTGATCAACTGGTAGTGTCACCATATCACAGCTACTGCCAGATCGAATCGGAATCCTCTCAGTATGGTTGGCCTGCTCTGCTACTTTTGGGATATCATCCGAGCCCTACCCCAAACAAGACGGAATCCTCTGAATTGGATGATCCAACTACAGGAATCTCAGTCGGGTCCAATTGGAAGAACAATAAGAGTCCCTAGGATATGGGATCTGCTCCGCTCTCGCTATCTCACTTTCTCTGTGTCTCATTAGTACGAGAAGGAAGAGGAAGGGGATGATAATCATCTTGTGGTGCCTGCTCGGTCCTGATTGAAGTATCATTGGAAGACGACCCGACCGCAAGAAAATTACGTTAGATCGGGGCTGTGTTTGATTGCCAACGAAATCATATTGAAACACGAATCGAATCCGACCAGAACCCACTGGATATAGAATAGGCTCCGGTTGTTTTATATGGTATCAAAACCATTGTCGGGTCCAATCGGGATCCGTCGGGTACGGGGTCTGCTCCGTTACAATTGAGATACCATTAGCATCCTACTCCGAACAAGTGATAACCCTCAGGATATGCAGATGTCTTCCTACTGGAATCTTCGCCCGTTTAACTGGGAGCACAAAATCAGACGCTTTGATATGGAATCCGCACCATTCCTATTGGAATATCGCTCTCTTTCTCTACTTCTGACACATGTGAAAGAGGAGGACGAGGGTGACAACCATCTTGATATGATGTCCACACAATTCCGATTGACGTTTCGTTGGAAAACGACCCGAACGCAATAAGAATACATTGGATCGGGGGTCTGCCCCATCCCTGATGAAACCGTTCTGCGAACCGATTCAAATCTAACAGGAAGTCCCTGGATCTGGGATCTGCTCCGTTACTACTGAGATGACATCAGAACCCTTGTCGAATTCAATAGTCATCCGAATATGAGGCCCTGCCCCGTTACGATTTGGATATCATTCGGATCCTCCCCCAATCAAGTGCGAATCCTGTGGATGGGATGTCTGCTCCGTTCTTATCGTAATCTCATTCGGATCCATTTGGGGCCCCGAAAGGTTCAACGCCAGCGGCACGAGCCCCGAAGGGGTCAGCGCCAGGAGAGAGGGGTGAAGAACGAGAGGGAGTAGGATGAATGAGGAGAGTGAGGAAGCATGATACGCAGACATGGTGAATAGCAAGATGATAAATATGGAGAATAGGTGGATGAATATGAATACGATTCATCCCGGCGAGGAAACATACATATATATACACACAGTTATACATACACATTATATAATACCTCACAGCTTCCACCGCCTATCGTACACCACATAGACTGCACCACATCGATTGCGCCGCATAGCTTGCACCAAACAGCTTGCACACCATTGGTCGCACCACGTGACTTGCACCACGTGGCTTGCAACGCAAAGCCAACACAACATAGTTTGCACCACAGCAGCTTGCACAATATGCTCATACAGCAGAACTCGCAAATACGCGGTAGAACAAACTCATTGGTAAACGTCTCTTCTGGACATGAATGAGAAATGCGTGCGTTCTTGCCATTTCTTAAGCTGCACGCGTGACACATTCCAATGCGGCGGATGAACGAATTTTCGACTGAAGGACAGCAACGAGTGCCCGCGTCACACACGAAGGCGAAGCCATCACTGGGATAATGCTCACGTTGCGCCAGTCCGTCGAACCTCGCCTGCCATGGGCGACAAGGCGAGGGGGATGGTTTCGTTGTTTGTTCCTCCTTTGCGGGGATGGTTTCGTTGTTTGTTCCCCCTTTTCCCCCGCTCCCAGGGGGGGGGACCCTGAGCCCGTCAGGACTCCTCTCGGGGACGCACTCACCGAAGGTCAATGCAAACCTTTGTCAGTCGGGCTTTGCAAGATCATGCAGGATCCTGCGCGCCACACCGGGTCTATGGACCCCTGGCTCTCAGGATCCTGCCAGATCCGGCGCCCTGGCTGACCCCCGCTTGCACCGGAGGCGCCGATCGAAGTGCATAGCCCAGGGGCGAGCATTACATGCGTTCGCCCAGGAGCATCGCCGAAGATATGGACCATCGACGCCCCTGGCTACATGTTTTGGTGCCCCCTTGACTACTCGCCGCGATCGTCGGCTCGATTTGCAATGGCCCCCCATCTCTACCATCTGGACGCCCGAAACATGTACGGAAAGAATGGGCGCGACGCCCAAAACAGACGTTGTTCAAAGCCGACAGCGGCTGCTGTTGAGCCAGCGGTTTTCTGTCTCAATTGGACAACGTCTGCGGTGACACCGACAGCGAGTCCTGTTCAATGAGGGGCAACGATAAGAGGGGACTGGCATACGGGGGGACGCATCGACCTCGATACATCGTCGATAGATCGGCGGTATGCCAACGATAGCGCAAGCGCACCTTCCTGGACGGGCTGGGGCTATCGGGCACCTATCGGCGATCAATGGGCGACTGGGGGTCGATACATCCCCCCCTTATGCCTATCCCCCCTTATCGTTGCCCCCGCTTCCAATCATCAAAAACTGCTGTCCGCCTTTGAACCCATTCTTTCCGCACCCCATCTCGACCGTCCCGATACCAGCTCACTTCGGGGATCTACTGCCCCGGGTCAATCCAAATCCGGGTCAGTCAGGCCTTGCAAAATCCTGCAAGATCCTACGCCCAAGCCCGGGTCGGTGCACCCCTGGCTCTGCAGGATCCTGCAAGGTCTGGCGCTCTGACTGACCCCCGTTTGCGTGGACCCCCGTGACAATGACTTGTTTCCTAGACTCAACGCGTGCACAGTGCAAAGCGCGTGCTGCTGGGCCCTCTGTGGGTCCTCGGGGGCAACCGGCTGCGGAGAGATGGGGAAGCGCTGCCGCTGCAAACCCGCCTCTCCTGCCTGTGCTAAAACTGTGTACGCTATCTTGTCAGAAATGGATACACGGGCCCGGGGACACACAAGTAAATATACACAGATCCAATTCTCATATATTTTCTGGGTGTTCGTCTTCCACCCCACTTCCCATAGTTTGGCATATTTTCCCTGGGGATCGGAAAAACATGTGTCTGCGCATTTCTCCCTCACTCGGTCTGCCCAGGCGCTTGTCCGCGCGCCGTCAGGGGCCCGGCCCGCCGCGGCCGGTCAGCAAACCGCTCCGCTTCGCTTCGCTTCGCTGTGTATTTCTCCCCCCCCTGAACGGATTTCAGGCCGACCTTCAGATGATGCTCGAAGTCGTCGCCCGATGTTCAAACCGCCTCCCTCCCGGCAGGGCGCGGCCCCGGCCCGCGGCGGCCTCCTCCGGCGGCTCCACGACCACGGAGTCCTCGGGCCGGGGCCACGGCGCCGAGAGCCCCCAAAAAAGAGGGGCAGGCGCGGAGAGGAGCGTGCATCGGGCCTCGCCCCCCACCACGAGGGCTGCCTGAGACTCTGTCAGCACGGCGCCGCCCCCGCGGCCCCCCTAACCCTTCGTGGGCATCGTTTGACCCATCCCTATCCCCGCCGGCGTGGCCTGGGCCACACTGGCCGATATACCCCCCGTGGATGGGGATGTAGGCTGTTCCCTTCGGATCTCGTGGGGTGTAGCCCCAACTGGGGTGGGGTAAGATGGCGGGGCTCGGGATGGGGATGGACATGGGGATAGGGGTCGGTTGAACGATACTGACCTTGGCCCCCCATTACCGTCCCCGTAGCAACCCATCCCTTCGCCGCCCTCCTGGTTCCTCGTCCCGGTTACTCTCCTCCACTTCTGCCGCCCTCGCACTTGCACCCCCCCCTCTCCCCGTCACCTTCCCGACCCTTTGTACGTAGGCCAGACTTTGAGCGACGGAGATCGCGGCGTTCTGCGCGTCAATGGAGGCCTTCGCGATCAAAAAAAACGATCGGAACGCAACGCGCGATCGACCCGAGGTCGATGTACCGATGCCCCCATTGTTGACAAAGTGCGTGCCCTCACAGACAGAAGAGAGGCGAAGAGGTGACGAGAAATGGAGAAGCCCTCTCCCCCCGTCCCCTCCTCAAGCGGCCGAGCTATCTGGGATAACTCTGGTCCGGTGTACCCAGGTTTGGGCCCCCGACACACGGACCAGCAATTACCAATGACCGCCCCGAACCCCGATGATTCAGGGATGGGTGGACGCTTGAATTATGCGGGGCAACTCTGGTCTGGGGCAGCCCAGTTTGGGCACCCAAGGCACGAGTCACCAGGCTACCACTGACCACCCCCAATCCTGATGAGTCGAGGCTCTGACCTCCCATCTCCTCCCCCTGCAGCCCCTGGAGTCGCAGGCCATCCTTCAGGCCCCCGCACAACGTGACGATCGGGACGCAGCCATACCTGGCGCCGGCGCGCCTCCGGGCTCCTCTGACCGAGCACGCATATCCGCGTGCTCCCCCAGCCCGCCCGACCCCTCCCTTGATCCAGCCCCCGCACCCCGCTGCCCGCTGCCAAACCACCCCCTTTGCGCGAGCGCGCGCGTTACGCAGACGCGCGCTTCTTCGTCCACTGGCCAGGTGAGAGCACCACAGCGAATACTGCGGCGGGGCGCGCTCAGCTCAACGACCACCTGACGTTGCAAACACAGGGCCTGGATGAAACCAAACGCATGCATAACAGACACACGCACAGCCACACCCACACACACGCACCCACTTTTTTAGCGCCGCGGCCCTGCGCGCATGACAAGGCGGATAATGTCTGAAGCAGCGATCGCGCGCGCCTACACACTTTTGCGTCGTCGGCTGGGCAGAGGGTGGCTGCCCTGGCGATCAGGCATCAGGGGGCGCACCACATGAAAATTCGGCCGCAATGCGCGCAGGAGGAGGAGGGGCCCACGGCGCGACAGGGAGAGGAGACGCTGGGCCCGCTCAGGCAAGTCACCGGCTGCAGCGGGAGGAGCGCCGAGGGGGGGAACCAGCGGCGGCGCCGGACAGCAGCTGCGGGGGGGCGGCAGCCCAGCGGCGGCCGGGCAAAGCCAGATGGGGGAGCAGCATATGCGATGCAGTGACCGCACCGACGGGGGAGCAGGAAGAGCAACCGGACCCATGCGAGGGCCGAAGCGCCGAGACCTTGGGGCCTACGAGGGGCGGCGGGAAGCGCGAGGGGCGGAGCGCGGCGGCCGCGGAGAGCGCCGCGCAACCGCGGCAAGCGCAGGCCGGCGAGAAGGCAAAGGAGAACGGACGAAGAGGCGGCCAGCCACCAGAGGAACGGCGCGGAGAAGGGAGTGCCAACAGGTGGGCGGGCGATCAGGAACCTGCGCAGGCGGCGCGGGCGGCGGAAAGGCGAAGGACAGCAGGCGATGACAGCCGAATGGCGGGCGGGACACGGCGGCGGCCAAGCACTGCCAGGATGGGGAGCGGCACAGGAGATGCGGTCACCGCGCCATAGGCGGAGCAGGAAGGGCAACGGGACCCCTGCGAAGGCCGAAGCGCCGAGACCTCGGGGCCTACGAACGGCGGCGGGAGGCGAAAGGGCGGAGCGCTGGCAGGCCATGCGCGGCGCAATGCGCGATGGGCGCGGCCAGCGCGAAGGCGGCGAGCGCTGGCGAAGAGAACGAGCCGCGCCAATCTGGGGCGGCGCGGCGCTGGGAGCGCCAGCGGGGAGCGGGCGGGCGCCGAGACCAGAGGGCCCGCGAAGCTCGGGGGCACGAGGGCAATGCAAGGCGCCGCGGGAGTGCGGCAGCGACCCGCCCGTCAGTAGCCGGCGGCCAGCCAGGAGGCCGGCCTGAAAACCAGGCGGGGGCCCCGGCCAGAGGCAGCCCGGGTCGCCCGGCCGGCGCGAGGCGCGGCAAACCAGCGGAGCGTGCCACAGGCAGGACTTGACAAAACGGAAGGCCAGCGAACCCCCTGCCAGAGCGGGGGGTTGCAGCGGCAGAGCAGGACACCCTCGGGCGGGAATGGGAAGGGGCCACGGGCCGACGGCAGGCGGCATGTTCAGCCCGCGGTGGCGCGCGCAGCTGCCGCCCCCGGCAACGGCGGCAGCCCTGGGCGGCGGCAGAAGTCGCAGAGGAGTCACCCCACGCGCGAGCGAGGGGCCTCGTGGAGAACGGATATAAGGAAGAGCGGCAAAGTGGCGCAGTGCGAAGGGGGGTCGCGACGGAGGCGGCAACCGCGGGGCCAGACACGCCAGGCGGCAGGAAGAGGCAGACCCCGCGCGGAAGCTGGGGGCCTGCGGGGGGGGCACCGAACAAATGAAGAATAGCGAAAGGCGCGCCGCGAGAGGCAGAGCGAAAGGGGGGGCGGCAGGCCAGGTAAGCCACTACTAGTTACCAAACCTCGTGAACACCGGACTCAGAACAGGTCGCATTAGAGTGCCAGCCGCGGGGGAACTGCCAGCGGTGGCTGCTCGAGGCTGACCGGCGCTGGCGAGTGGGGTCGATGGTGGGCCAGGACGTGTCGGCAGGGCGCTTGCCTTTCCCCTGCGGCAGGGCCCCTTCCATTTGCCTTTGGCAAGCTCAGCGCTGCGCCTCCTCTTGTCCACTGCCCGATGCTTCTCAGCGCCCCAGTCGACTCGGATGCCCTTGTGACTGCGCAGGATGCGGACATCGTAGTTGGCCTGGCTGAGCTCGTGCGCAACTCCCTGACAACAATTCGGCGGGGTGCCACTGGGGGTCCTTGGAGGAGCGCGGCCCCGTCTCCTGGTCGTGGGTGGCGTTCCAGCCGATTGCCAGCATGGGGCCTCTGTCCTTTTTGAAGCGGTTGACCCCCTCGCGCAAGTCCCCCCTCGCGTTTGGAATATGATTCCGGGCGGAGTGCCGCGCCACCCTGCGCCGCGGCATGTAGTGGAGCCGATCCGTGGCATCGCGCTGGGCCGGTGGCCTCAGGGCGGGGTTCGCGCCGCGGCGTCGCATCCGCGCCGCCTTCGGGATGCGCTCGCGGGCTGCGTTGCCCATCGGTCCGGGGGGTCTTACGCGCCAGCTCTCCCCCGGCGGCGCGCTGGCCGCCGCCGCCGGACCGCGCCGCCCGCGGCGGCCGCGCGCGGTCAGGGCTGGGAGGAGGGCGCGCGGGAGCGGAGAGGAGCTGCTTGGGCCACGGCGCCTCGCTACGGCTGCTCGCCGGACTGCTGGGGGGAGGTCGCTAGGTCGCTCCTGTGGGCTCGCAGGCCGATGCAGCGGGGCGTCCGCGCGGCGCTGGGGGTGGCTGGAGCTGCCGTCGCTCTGGTCGCGCCATCGTCAGCGACGGCTGCCGCCGACCTGGACGTCGGCGGGGGGTGCGGGGCCAGACAACCGTCGAGCCGGTCGGGCCCGGGTTTGGAGAGCGGGCTTTAAAGGAAAGTGCCCGAAGGAGGCGTCCTTCCAGGGCACTCCGGCCCGTTCCCCCTCGACGCCCCGATGGCGATGCGCCGCGGTAACTAGCCTGAGGCATGCCTTGATGAAGGCCTCTAAGCGCAAGTGGAGCCTGTGGAAGTCGGCATCTACCAGATTGTGGGCCTTCCCAGAGCTATCTCGCACCGGCAGGGGCGCTTGGTTGTAGGGGAGGCAGAAGGTGGCCTCGAGGATACCGCCGATGTGGCTGGGGTTTCCGTGGGGCGCCAGGTTGGGCCTGGGCTGCCTGATAAGGAGGAACATCAGAACCAGGGTGGTGTTTGATCTTGCGCGCTGGATGGGAGCCCCACTGGTGTCCTTAAGCGGGCGGGAAGGGCTTTCGAGGGATCGATCCTGCCGGCCGGTGAATGCCGCAAGGTGCGCCCTGGTGGCGAGTGCACGCGCATGTGCCCGAGCTCCAGGCGGCTGCGGGACGCGTGGCCGTGCCAGTGGGGGGTCGGTCGACGCGCCAGCTCAAGCGAGATTCGCATATCCCCCCGGAAGGAAGGGGGAGAGGCGGTCGTCTTCTATGGTTCTGTGGGGGGCTGTATTAGGTTGAAGTCCAGCCACGTGCAATAGGCCTGCCCAGGCCGCAGTGCAAACAAAGTTAATGGCGTCGATGCCCAGTTCGTTGTCGTACAGGTATCCGTCGTGACTGACCAGCTTCTGGCACTGTTCGTAGAGCTCAGTCGGCGATTCCCCTGGGCAATACATGTGGGGGTGAAGGCTGTGCACGTAGTACACGCACGCACGCCCACTTTTCCTTTGCCTGCGAAATGATAATGGTGTCGCGAAGCCGTGTTGGGTTGCAAACACGGACGCACGCACGCACATAGTCTAGATCAAGTGGCCACTACGATTGCAAAACGCACACGTGCAAACTTACACGCACGCACGATCACGCTGTCACGATCTATCAAGCACAAACATGTACACATATGCATACATGTGTATACATATGCGAACGAAGGCGTTGCGCTCTCAGGCACCGCACAGCTAGCGGCGCTCGCCGCGGGAAAGCCCTGCGACGCGCCAGCTAAGCCACTCCAACATGTCGGTCGCAAACGGTCGCTACACATTTCTCACGGGGAACACCCAATTTCACCACACGCACACACAACGAAGGCGATTTAAACAATAAAAAGAGATCCCAGCATCCTCGAAGCCAGCTGGAAATATGAATTTCGATATATAAATATCGCGAAGCGGTAACGAGGCGGCTAGAAACAATATCGCATAAAAACACGGCCCAAGCCGGGAGAGAAAACAAAGCCATAACTGGCTAGATGCTGACGATTTGCACGGAAACTCGCGGTCCGACATGGACAACACGGAGCCCGCGCCAGTGCCACGCGCCCTCCAGGAGGGCACGAGGCGCAAGCAACCGGCAGGCGCCAACGGTCAGGTGGACACGCCGACAACTGACATAGAAATGCTGTGCATGTAGAAGAGGCCGTGCCGCGCGCGCTCTCGCACATAGCAAGCAGACGTCCTGAGTGGGCATCGCCGACAGGAGAACCCGATGGTGAACCTGGCCAGGCAGGGCAACGCCACACCACAGCCCAGTTCCCACGACCTCATCGGCCATCATCCAGCCCAGCCCCCCCCCCCCCCCGCCTTTGGCTGGCTCGGCGGGGGGAGGTAGTGGCGTGGAGCCGAATCAAGCGATACAATTTCGTCTGTGCTTGCGGAGCAAACCAGTCTACATCATTATCGGTAATGCTTCATTGGACTCGCATCTCGATGCGAGCTGGAACAACGCTCGCTATCTAAAATTAAAGATTTGCGACGAACGTGTAGGAGTCCCACCAGCCCTCTGGGCGTGAGTGGTTTAGTGTGCTTCCTCTTCCTCTTGCCCTTCAGGGAGGTGTTGACCCCTCCCTCGACCCCCTCCCTCGGACCTGGACGGGGCGCCCCGCGACCGATTGGAGCGTCCGAAACGGCCTCGGCGAGAAGGCACGCATCTGTGATGTGCCGTAGGTTTTGGTTTCCGTCGGAACGCTCCCTCCTCCGACTTGGCCAGACTTTGGCCCAACGTTTGGCCACGTTGGCGTTTCCGAAAAGCAGGGGGCGGCGGTGGTGCGTCCCAGGCGTACTCCATATTTCCCCAAGCCATCCCATTCCCAAGCCAGCTAGGCCAAAGATGCCTCGCTCGTCCATTCCATCTCCGCCACCATCTCGTGTGGCAATTCATGAGAGCCTCTCATGTCATCATTCTGGCTCTTGCGACATGACGCTTGCCGACACTACTCGACGTGACATCTTCGCTCATCGGAGCTGGATCGGTGCGCCCCATCGGTCATCACACGCTTGCGGCGCACGCTGCAGTCAACCCGTATCATGAGGATGCGCGACCAGGATGCAAAAGCCTTGGACGCCCACTCCGGAGCTTCCCGAGCGGGGCGCGGCCAACGAAAGCGGCCAAGGATGGACCGAGGAGGGAAGGATGCAAGGGCACCACTGGGAAAGCTGCCCATCCTTACCTGAAGGGGCCCTGGGACACACAAATAAACGCACAACACATAACAGGATTCCCCATATTTTCCAATATTTTCTCGGTTTTTGTCTTCGCCCCCACTTCCCCTAGCTTCCCATAGTTCCTGGGAGTCGACGATGAATTGTCTCTGCGTGTTTTTCCCTCCTGATTGCCATGCGCGTTGACTGCACTGCACTCCGGAGGCGCCGTCCCCGACGTGCCCCGGCGGTGCTCCCCCAGGGAGAGGAGCGGCCGCCTCTGCGCGCACATCTGGGGCAGCCCGCACGGCTCGTACCTCGGGCGGGGCCGGCAGGGACGGAGCTGACGATAACCAGCCTCAAACTTATCCCTATCCCTAAGATTGACAAGCCAAAGGGCGATGACAATCTCGGGGATGCGCCATCAAAAACTAAGGAAAATCCCTAAGATCGGTATCGAGATGAGGCGATGGCGATGCCAATCACAGGGATAGGGATATGTTCCAGGCTGGTAAGACGAGGGAGCGGCGGACGAGAAGGGGAGGGAGGAGGCTGGAACGTAGGGAGAAGGAGGAGTAGAAACGTCAGGAGGCAACTCGCGGCAGCGGGGTGGGTCGTCCCCGCGGCGCCCACCAGCGCGCCCGATCGCACGTCGAAGCGTGCAGAATGCATCTCCCGCACATGGCGCGATTGGGCGCTTTCGGTCGCTAGTTGAACGCTATTCGGCGCTCATGGGCGCTATTGGGCGATATCGAGCGCTATTCGCCGATATATTTCAAGCACTAGACGAGAGGAAGCTTCGGTGATTTACGATCTGAGCACGAGCTCAACCCAAATATCACAAGCCGAACCAGCAGAGCAAATACGCTGTGCATTGGCTCAGAGGGTCTAGGTCACAGGAGCAATCGGCCAGCGTTGGTGAGGCGGGAGAAGGTACTGCATAATGCGAGGGGCCTGGGACAGCGGGACCTGGAGGATTCGAGGGGTGCCACGAGAAACCGAGGTCCACCGAACAGCTAGGGTTGGGGAAACACGACTGAGGCCTCTGGTCGGGATCATTCTCAAACGTGCGGCGACTGCACGGTGAACGGTCAGAGGAACGATTCCCTGCGGCTGGGTGCCCCGAATTGTTCTAATAGGTACACCGCGCATAATACAACATTGGTGTCCGAGTGCAACAAAACTGCGATAGAGGCGGATGCCAGAGCGAAGACAGACGGCGAGGCGGGATGATCTAGGGAAGCATGAGGAGACCGTAGAGGAAGGGCTGGGAGAAGGAAAAAGATGTGGAAAAACAGTAAACGAAAGGGAAACCTCACTATATAACACATAGGCACATTGCCCCGAGGCACAGCATCCACTGCATGGGAATATTGCGAAACTCTGGGGCCACAGCCCCAAGTTCCGGGCGTTCCTGGGCGCTCCAGGGCGCTTCTGAGCGCTATTGGGTCTCGGCGCCAGAATCAAGGTGCAGGAGGGTCTCAAAACGGGCTAGTAGGGTCCTCAGAGGCCTCGAGACGGCCCAAGAGGGTCCGAGTCGCCCGAATATCACTGCAAGATGGCATCCAGACGGCCCAAGAAGCTCCCAGAACGCCAGAACGCCTCAAGAGAGCTCCAAGGTTCCGCCATGGCGGCCCCAAGACCCAAACCATTGATGTGCCAACCAAAGGTTTTGAAAACCTTTAGCAGTCTCGCTTGATTGGGCCTCCGATGTTCCAAGACGGCCCAAACCACCCAAGATCGTCTCAAGACGGCGCAAGAAGCCCCCGGGAGAAATCCCTCACGGCCCAGGAGGGCCCCAAGACGGCCAAAGAGCCCCCCCAAGACCCCCAAGGCGACCTACGAGGGCCCCAAGAGGAGCCCAAGGGAGCCCCAGGAGGGGGAGCACGGACCGAGATGTCGAGCCCTGCGTCCCAGGATGACCCCCGAGAAGTCACCAGAAGCCCCAGGAGCCCCCGAGAGGCCCAGATCAGGCTCCAAGAAGCATCCACGAGGCCCCCGACAAGCCCCCGAGACACCCCAAAACCGTCTCCAAGAGGCTTCGGAAAGGCCTCCTAAGATTCCCACAGGCATCCAAGAGGCCACTGACCTACAACCTACTGTATGCACGGTGGCGGGATGGGCCGAAGGCAACTAAAGCCACCGCCACTTTTGATCTATCACAGCAATTATTGGCATGCTGGATTGTGTTACTGCTTGTAACCCTTCAAAACAATCAGAAATTAGCTTCGGCGCATTCCTACAGCCATACGGAGAAGGAGGAAGGCAACTGGGGCAATGATCCTTCCGCCCAAGATCGCCCCAAGACGACCAAGATGACCTCCATGACTCCCAGAGGCCCAAGAGGCCCCAAAGAGAACCTCCAGGAGGCCCCAAACCATTGATTGATTTCTCACCAGCAGAATGTTTGATATCTGTTAGCGTTCTCGGCTCCAAGACGGCTCCGGAGACAGCCAAGACGCCTCCACCAGGGCTCCAAGACGGCCCGACAGACCTCCGAGACGGCTCTGAAGCGCGCAGATAGCCCCTCGACGGCCCAGAGGCACCCCCAAGACGGCCTCCGGAAGCCAGGAGGCCCCCAAGGGGCCCCAAGAGGCCCTCATAAGCCCCCCCACGGCCCCGAGGAGGCCCTAAGAGGCCCCCGAGATGCCTCATGTTCCTCCTTCTCCTCCTCATCCTTCTCCTCCCTCTCCTCCACATCCCCCATCCTCCCACAAGTGTTCTCTGAAGAGTTTCCGCACAGCGGCTGGGGGAACCCTTAGTCCAATCCCTTTGCAAGACTTCGGCCCACCGTGTAGCCACATATAGGCGTTTTCGAAAGGAAGGGGGCCGTGGTGGTTCTCCGTGAGCGTCTTCGATGATAAATGGCTGAGGACACATCCGAACTCCAACGAGGCTATGTGATACCACGAAATGCGACGACGGGAAAGACGACGACGACGACCACGATGACGACGACGACGACGGCCACGACGACGACGACGACGACGACGACGGCCACGACGACGACGACGACGACCACGACGACGACGACGACCACGACGACGACGATCAAGAGATCCCAAGGACGGCCCGTCACAGCCTGTAAAGGCCCCAAGTCGGCCGAGAGGAGCCCCCAAAACAGACTTCAACGACGTCGGTCTGCCCACGAGCGGCCTACGACGGCCCAAGGAGCCAGGAGCCCCAAAGAGACCCCGAGGGGGCCTTAAGACGCCCCCTGGAGGCCTCCAAGAGGCTCCCAAGGAGAGAAGAAGAGGATGGGAGGAAGACGACGACGAACACGAGGCGAGACACCCTGACATGACGCGTAAGACTTTGCCAAGCCTCGGGGCATGATGTGTCACACGTGACGACCTCTGTACGCTCACCGACTCGTCGCCACACAGCGGGCTGAGCTGGCACGGAAGCGGGACTTGCCGCAAGCAGCTAAATAACGAACTCAAGGTAGCACGGGAGAAGACGAACTCGGAAACGGAGGCTGAATGATGGGAGGGGTGATTGGGTGGAGGAGTGACCACTGCTCCACGCATGAATCGGATTCATCATTCCTCCTCCTGCTGATGGCATGCTCATCCTCCTCTTCCTCTCTCGTCGTCCATTCTCTCATCCACTCTTATTCCACATCGATCTCGCCTCGGCGCCGCGCTCATTTTCTCGGGGAGTCGAACTCCCGCACTGGCGCGGTGCACATTACACGCACGCCAAGTGGTCGACGCGCGAGCCGACGAAAATGCCGATCTCGCCTGGGCGCCGCGCAGGTTTCGCTTGTAAGTGACGCTCCCGCCCCAGCGCGGCGCACCTTGGTTACTCGACAAAGTTCGCGGCACCGCACGACCGGGCGACTTGTTGTCCTCGCCCACGCTACGTGCAAGTGTCGCTTGGAAAGTGGTGTTCCCGTGCGGGCGCGGGGCGTGTCTCGTTCGCTGAATCGCATGTCAGCGGCCGCGGGGCTGCGCGAGAGCGGACGAAATGCTGTCCTCGCCCAAGCGCCGCGCAACCTGTGCTGCTTCGCTGTGTCGACGCGGCGCTTTCTTCGCCTTCACCGAGCTCATCGGGAGTGGTGCCACTCCCGCCCTTGCGCGGCCCTCGTACTGCTTCCCCGTTGCCAGGTCGTCGGGAACGGGACTGCGCGCGGAGCGCCCTCCGTTCGCTGTGTAGGTGGGAAAGCATGCCAGTCCCAATATCAAATTGTGCCACAATTGCTGATTTTGTGTTTGGGAAGGAAGGCGGAAGTGGGCGGGACCCACTGACTCGTTCGACCCGGCTGATTAAAATGAACCACTCGTGCTCGTCTTCGCCGTTTCCGTCCTGGTCCATCCTCCTCCTCTCTCATGATCCTTCCTCCTCCCTTCTCCTCCCATAGCTTAGCCCCCTCACTCCTTCTCCCATCTCCTCCCACCTGGCCACCTCCTGCTCTGGCCACCTCCTCCTCCTCATCCTCCTCCTCCGCCCTCCCTTACTCTCGTGTTCCTACCTCTCCAGCCCCTCCCCCTCCCCCTCCTCGTCATCAGTCCTCGCCCTCCGTCCTTCCCATCTCCCCATTCCCCCTGCTGCTGCTCCACGCCCTCCTCATCTGAGAATGCGTTACTTCCTTACCCTCCTCCGCGCCCTCCTCCTTGTTACGTTGGGCAAGCGTTGGCTTGCTAGAGCGGTCGCGTCTTGGTGGCAGCGATGCGAGAAAAGGAGCGCAGCGCTCGATAAAATAAAGGTCATGCCCTGGTACTGCAGCAGCGCGCGTCGGCGAGAACCAAGCCAAAGAGGACACGTCCTCCTCCTCCTCCCCCTCCCCCTCCCCCTCCTCCTCCTCCTCCTCCTCCTCCTCCTCCTCCTCCTCCTCCTCCTCCTCCTCCTCCTCCTCCTCCCCTTGCCGTCCCTCGCTCCTCTTCCTGATCCCTCGTTCTCCCGGTTCCCTGAGCTCTCCTCCTCCGCATCTGCCTCCTGCTGCTGCTCCTCGACCACCTCCGCCTCCCCCTCCTCGGACAGGATGCCCGTGCGCAGAGTTCGGTGACAACTCATGGGAGCCTCCCCTGCCAACTTGCTGGCCGACGCTAATCGATGCTAGTCTAGTCAACGGCGATCGACGCTAAAATCGACGCTAACAGACGCCAATCGACCCTACATCGACCTGAAGTCGGTGCTATCTCATTGAGTACCAAACGTTGCTCGATGCAAATGCACGCCAAAGACGGAGTTAAGACGGTGTACAAGGCTCCCAGAGGTTGCTACCGAACGCAGAGGTGCGGACCGCAAGCAGGCGAACAGGCCTGGAGGGCATCAAAAGGAAATCGCTGCCCGCGTACAACATGTGCTCCAGCTGCCGGCCGGCACGGGGCGCATGACGGGCCGCGGGCGCGCGGCGCTGGCTGGGTGACGCTCCGCCCGTGTAGGATGGGGCCCCTGCCATCGCTCGGACGGCTATTCCCTGTGCATGTTTCGGTGTCGCGCGTCTCTTCTTTCGCAAAGATGGTCTTTTTTCCGTGGAACTCCGCGATGGTCAACATTTTCTGGCGCTGGCCTCGCCGAGAAGACATGCACGCGCCCCAAAAATGCCAAAAGGCCCTGGGAGACCTTCGCTTGGCCAAGGTATCCGGATGCATCCGGAAGGGTTTCAGGAACCGATGCTGAGGGGACGCTGGTCAAGAAGACATGGGAGTGCTTTTGTTCCCCTACCCGACAGGTTGGGCTTCATATGCTGGTTTCATGCACTCATGGGACACGGGCCCCAAGAGTCCCCGCTGGTTCCTATTGCCCCGCCTCGCGTCCTCGAAAAGTGACGACAGAAACGGCCACGCCTGCCGTTGGTCCCATTCCCCCAAAGTTACTAACGGTCCCGAGTATTCTGCCCAGCGTCCTCGATGCAGAGCCCGATGTCGCACCCAACTCAAAGGCACTGATAGCAAGCACGCCAATCAAACATAATTAACACACACGGCACAAATGCGCGGACGACATGCCAACATCCAAAATACTTATAAGCATACTACGCACACTTAGCGCGCACGAAAAAAATCAAGCAACCAACACATTAAACACCCGACATATACCAACCCTGTACAAACGCATACGAGGCATAAGAACATCCCTACCTACTATAGTAGGATAAGTTTCGATGCCATAACATACGAAACGAGCACACCTACAAACTAGCAGCAAAACCTGAACAACCTGCACAAGCACATCACAATCTGATCATATATAGGCACGGTGCGCGTAGATATACACAATGACAAAACATGGCCAACACACGCGAATACAAATCATGCGGACAAACCGTACAGCCATATGGAACACACGAAACATCAACAACATTTAACACGCCGAAAAGCAACACATACAGCTGAAACGCGCACACACACACACACACATAACGACCTTTCCTCAAACAACCCCAAGCACAAACACGTGTACATTCTTTACATTAAGCCAGCGAGCGTGCGCAACCACGAGACCAAATTATGTACAACTAACATAAGTAACGCTGCCTCTTGCACGCAAATCGAATCAGCACGACAGCGCATAACAACCAAACTGAATGGAGCTTCTGATATGTAGCAGACAACCCACGCTTGTGTTTGATATGTTGTTGCGCACGCCCTTCTAACACACAAGCGCTTACATAGATTATTGGCCATGTACACACCCACTTCGTCCTTGTTATCAATGGTGTTACTAGTTCGTCTGTCCGGTGTGTAATCCGAGCCTGCCCTCCCCCTGTATACATATATTCACACGCGTGAGCGCGTAGGTTTAACGATGCGTATAACTACTAGTTCAAGATAACGTATGTTTTTTTGCGCGCATGTGCATTTATCCCTCGTGGCTCCGCAAGGTGCACCGTCCCACGTCGTCCCACGAGGTGCTGCCCAGCAGGCCTGTACGTGCCCAGGAACGTCGCCCTCGCAGAGCAGACGCTCTCCAAAGCTGCGTCAGGCTGGGACCGCTTGGTCGGTTCCAACTTCGAGTGAATCTTGCGCAAATAGAAAGCAATGGTCGCTCGTTCCCAAGCCAGGCTCTGTGCCTAAATATCTGCGTTCTCGCGACCAGGGCCAAGGCGTGCAGACAATTAATCAGGGATACAGATGCTGGGGCCCCATGCGCTGTGGATAGCGCTCCAAAGGTGGGAGCAGTGTACATTGTGAGGCATGGCGCCATGGGCGCACGGGGTCTGCGTGCGGCAGCAGCCGAAAATACAGGGCGCATCCGCACCTCCGTGGAGGCGCGCAGGAGGCGACTCGTAATCCACCCACCCGCCCAGGTCTTGATCAGGGCAGAGCGAGCAGCAGGGGGAAAAGCAGATGAGAGAAGCTCCTTGGCCGCGGCTCCCACTCGATCCGGCGCAGCGCGCAAGTTTCGGGCGGGATCGCCCAGGAGTTGAGGCGAGCAAGGAAGGTCGAGGGGAGGCGATCGCAAAGGATGGAAGAAAGGTGACTAAGGTGAACAAGCTTCTGCATGCGAGGGCGGGCCTTGGGGCACTCCAGAAGTAAGCGCGCCTTCCCTGCTACCCACTCACTCCTCAACGCGGAGCCACATGCGATGGCCGTCTTCTTGTTCAAGTCATCCTTGGAGCCCTGGGCCGCTGCCTCGAGCGCGTGGGCGATCGGTTTGGGCTCCCCGTGAAGCAGGGCGCAGAGGCCGCGGCCACGAATGCGCTCATAGAATATGAGAGCCTCTGCCGCCTCCCAAAGCCTCCCCGCCCAGCGCGGCCAATTCAGGGCCGAGTCGGAGGCGCCGCGCATCAGGGCGGCGCGGTTGTTCAGCTCGAGGGAGACCAGCTTCCGGGCGGGGGGCCAGCAACCGATCGCCAGTAAACCATCACGTGGAAGAGCTTGGGGTGGTAGATGCCACGCGCGGCGTGGAGCCCAGGCTTCTTTGCGGTTCATTTTCGTGGCCAGAGGAACGGCTGTTCCAGCATGAGGTCTTGCTCGCAGCGCGCTGATTGCACAGCATGGTGGAGGTGCTTGCGGGCGCGCCGACGTCCGCAACCAGGTCGGGCACGCGCTGCCAGCCCGCGATGACCTTCTGCCAGCGCATCGCGTCGCCCACGCACGGGCCCATCAGCGCGCCAAGGTGCTCCGCCGCGTCCGTGATCGCCACGCCCTGCCATTTCGAAACGAATTCCGCCAACGCCCCGCGCGCCCCGCTCTCCGGCGGCGGCGAGGAAGCCTCCGCCAGAGGGATGATCTTGCACTCCGCCGTTTTCAACGCCAACCGAGCCAAAATTTCCGCCGCATCGGAAGCCTGGCCCATCGGGCGCCACATCGTGAGAGAAGGCATCGCGCACACCGCGTCGCCCGCACAGGCGCCAATCATCCCGCCGCTGCGGCGCCAGGTCCTCGCACGCATATCTCCGATCAGCGGGCCCGCGCCAATCGCCCAGAGCGCGCCGGACCAGGGGCAGCCTTGCAGGGTGGCAGAGCCCAGGGCGCAGAAGACATCTTGGGCGCCGCCCAGGTTGGCGCGGGCGACGGGCCACAGGTAGATCGCCTCGGCCACGTCGCGGACGACGAGGGGGGGGGGGGCGCAATCTCGAGCGCCATCTTCAAGCAGGCTCTGCGCGTCGACGGGGGCGCACCTCCGAAGTCGTAGAGCACCATGAGCGGGCCCTCGACGCGAATGTCATCCTGCGTGGCCACGACGCGGGACTGCGCGCCCATCGCCACCACATGTCCTATGAAGCGCCGCCTGGGGAGGAACCCTTCCTGCGCGCCATGGGCGCTTCCAGCCGCGATCGGCTCAATCAGCTCGTCGCCCATGGAGGTCGCGATCTCGCAGTCGGTAATTTTTTCAAGGAGGGGGAGAGAAAGAAAGAGAGAAAGAGAGAGAGAGAGAGAGAGAGAGAGAGAAAAAAAAAAGAAAGAAAGAAAAAGAGAGATAGATAGATAGATAGATAGAGAGAGAGAGAGAGAGAGAAGACGCGTCGCATTTGCCAAGCGAATTTCGTGTAGTTCGCCATCTGGCTCTGAGCCCTTCGGCGGGAAGATCATCAGCGAGTCATTGAAGTCGAATGGAACAGAGGGACCTCTCATGACCTCGATGGTGAGCTCCAATAAGACCTGCGCGGCCGATGTCATGCGCTTCCATGCCGTGTAGGGGGTGCCGTCTGGTCCAGTCGCCGAGCTGTTCAGCTTTCGGATGACTGCCTTCATCTTGCCAAGCGTGGGGATGTCCATCAAGGAACAGTCACAGGGGGCAACGTACTTCTTGAAATATCGCCACACGTGATCGATGTAGCTCGGCTTCGCCTGGAATACAATAATCCATTATCGCCTGCGCTCCGCGATCGTGGCCGACGGGGGCCCCGCGCGACCGCGGCCACGCAGGACTTCGAAGGCTGTGAGCTTCAGCACCATGCCCGTTGGAGCCCAGAGCTTGCCGCGCTTCAGACGCTTGCGGGAGCCTCCGACGCTTGCGGGAGGAGGTGCCCCTCGCTTGCCTTTGCTGCTGTATGTCCTCTGCCCGTTGGTCCCGGCACTCCTGCCGGCGCTGCTCGAAGGTTCGTCGGAACGTCCCGGGCCCCACCAAAGTCGCGCTGTTGCAATCAGAGGCGCCCGACAACCTGGCGCCCAACGCAAAACGGGCATGAAAAGCGCGGGCCGTCTTCCAGTCGCCCCTCCACGCGGCGCGAGAGATCGCCCTGCAAGCGGCAAGAGCAGCTGCCGAGCAGGGGGCCCGGGCGCCCGTCAGCTCATTGCGGGCCAGCCTCGCCGCCTCGCGGATTAGGCGCTCGTGCTCCTGGAGACGCACAGATGGCATGTAGTTATCCACGTCAGCGCGGCTGGGCAATAGGTCCATGTACTTTGCGAAGATGGGATGCTCAAAAATGCACTGCGGGATCGGCTGTGCGTTCGTGTCCTCCTGGGCTCGCGCTGGAAGTCAGAGGTGGACAGGAGCGCGGTCAGATACACCTTTCTCGAAAAGCACTTCTGGGGGCGTCGGGGCGCCCACTGTCACGCGCCACTGCAGAAGCATCCACGGAGGCGCGCTGGTGTATATATTGTCAATGCGCGCGCGCCGTTGAGAATGCTCGGCGCAGCGCGCGGGAACCTCGGGGCCGACCTCCACCATCTCGCCCAGGGCTTGCCCCCATCTCAGCTGGTGTTCAGGGTGATGATTGCGAAGCCGAGGTAGTCCTACGTTCACCAGTGGCGCTGTCATCTCGAGCGGGGCCTCATCCATGAAGTTGAAGTCGCCCAAGACCATTGCCGTGATCCGCTCAGCGCGCTGCTCGGCTACGCTGAGTTCGGCTCGGATCGAGCCCGCAGTGCGCTGCATCTGGGCCTCCGAGAGCTTGAACTTGCGTGCGTTGTAGATTGCCAGCATGGGCGGCAGCTCGTTCGCTGCGGCCGCGTGCGGCTTGATGTGGAGCCTTCTGCACGCGGCCAGGTATAGGTTCAGAGTGGCGAAATCGGTCAGCATCAGCAACTTCAGCTTGTGACAGACCAGGTATCAATATCGCGACACTGCCAGCGCCGCGTTCGGGGATGGATGTAAAGCAGGGGGCCGCCTTGTGCGCCAAGTGAATTTCGCGGTCGAGTTCGGCCCCCGACCCGTGAACCTCCTGGAGCGCCAGCACCGCCGAGGAGGTGAGGACCTGCACTAGGTGGGTGATATTATTCTTCTTCTTGCGCCTGAACGGGCCCTGGCAGAGTAGGGCTCGTGGATTCCAGGTAGTGAAAGAAATGGCGCGAGTGGGCAACGCCCCGCGCCAGGGAGCCAGCGTCCTGATAAATCCGCCACTGTGCGTTCTGTGCGCCGAGGGAGGTCTGGAAGAACCGATCGAATGCGCGGCGGACGTCTTCGCGGTTCATCCCATGTTTGAGGCAGGCTTCGTAGTTTAAGAGGAGACGCGTGGCTTCGTCCTTGGTCGCGCCCACCACGGTGGAAAGGACAGGCATGTTGTTGCTGTACACGATGCCTTGCTGACGATCGCAACGCCAACGCTTGGTGTCGTCCTGGGACTTGCAGAACTGCGTGTGTTTCTTTGTTTGGAACTCTCGGCGGGCCGTCTTGCCAGAGCGGTCGATGCCGAAGAAGAGTCTGGACTGGTTGCCGTGTACGTTGTGCACCTCGGTTATATATATATATATATATATATATACACACACTCACATATTCTGGGACCATCGCGCGCTTCGCGCGCGCGATGGTTCTAGCCCAGGCTGGGGGGCGCGCTAGAGAATCTTGGACAGCGCTATCAAGCACAGGCGCGTGACATAGTCGTGCCGCCTGAGGGCCTCTTGGGAACCTCTTGGGTCGTATCTGAAAGGCTTCTGGGGGGTTCTCCGTGCTTCCTCGTTTGGCTGTTGGAGGAACCTCTCGGGTGCTTCTCGGGGGGCATATTGGGGTTTCTTGGGGTCCCTTGGGGCATCGTCAGGGTTCTCCGGGCAGTCGGAAAGAAATGTTCTGCAGTCTGAAGCAATCAATTGGCCGTCTTGGCTGCGTGGAGGCCCGGCTTGAGGCCACATTGGGGCAATCCCGAAGCCTTCCGGGGCCTCCTTGAAGCAATCTTGATGCATCGAGAGCACTGTTCGGCTATCTTGGGGCCCCGTGTACGTCTCCTGTGAGCCTTTTGGGGCCTGGTGGGGGGTTTTGGGGGGCCTCGTCGGACCAAGTGGAGACTCTTGGGGCCTCCTGTGGGGCTCTTAGGGCGGAAAGCTCTGCTGTTGGGTTCGCGTTCCCCTTCTTGGGGCTCTCTTGGGGCCCTCTTGGGGCCCTCGCGGGCCGTCTTGGGCGCCTCGGGCACCGTCTTGGGGCCCTCGTGGGCCGTCTTGGGGCCCTCTTGGAAGCCTCTTCGGCTATCTTGGAGCGGCCGTGGGGGCCACTTGGGCCGTCTTGGAGCGTCGGAATGCCAAAAGGCTGGGAACTCGAAAATCCATCAAAAGACGATGGGAAAACAATGCTTCTTGGAACCTCCTCGGCCTTCTGGGGAGCTTCTTGAGGGCCTCTTGGGTCCCATTTGGGGGCCTCTGGGGCTTCCTGAGAGCCTCTCGTGGTGGAAGGCTCGGATTTTCAGTTCGTCTTACCCCTCTTGGGCACCCCTTGGGGCCGTATTGGTGCCCTCTCGAGCTGTCTTGGACCCTGTTGGAGGCCTCTTGGGCATCTTGAATTGGTCTTGGAGGCCTTTTTGGCCGTCTTGGAACGTCAGGACGCCAAAAGGCTGAAAACTCTAACGTTAATCAAAAACCTATGGCAAGACATGGATTTGTGCCTCTTGGGGTCTTCGTGGGAGGCCTCTTGGATACTCTTCGGCCCCCTGGGGGGCTTCTTGGGGCTTCTTGGAGCCTGTCAGGGGCTTCTCGGGGCCTCCTGAGAGCCTCTCGGGGTGGAAGACTCGGATTTTCGGGTCGTGTCAACCTTCTTGGCTCCATCTTGGGGCCGTCTTAGGGCCCTCTCGGGCCGCCTTGGGCGCCGCCTCTGGCACCGTCTTGGGACCCCCGTGGGCTGTCTTGTGACGGTCTTCGAGGCCTCTGGGGATGCCTTGGAGCGGAAATTAAAGCCTCTTGGCCCGTCGTGGAGCGTCAGGAAACTGAAAAGGCGAGAACTCGAAAATCGATCAAAAACCAAAGGAAAACAAATTAGTTGTGCCTCCTGGGGCTCCTTGGGAGCCATCTTGGAGACCTCTTGGGGCGTCTTGGAGGCCTCTTGGACAGTCAGGGACCAATTCTGGGGTGATCTCGGGCGGTCATTGGTTGTTTTCGTTATCTGGAAACGCCAGGGCCGTCTTCGGGCGACTTTACAAGGCCCCAGCCCCCCGGGCCCCCCGGTGCGAGGGCCCCGTCCCGGGCCCCCCCTCGTGCCCGCGGCAGGGCGTCCCTGGGCCGTCTCGGCGCCCTCGTGGGGGCCTGTTGGGGCGACATTGGGTGTCTGAAGTCCATCAAAAACCTAAGGACAATCAATGATTTTGGCGTCCCTTTGGGCCGTGTTGGAAGCCTTGTGGGCCGTCCGGAGGCCATCTTGGGCGTGTTCGAACGATATGTCCTCGTTTCGGGGCCTCTTGGGGGCTTCTTGCTGCCCGTTTCGTCTGTGTTGGAGCTTTCTTGGGCCGTCTGGGGGCGGCCCTGGGCTGTCTCGGCGCCCTCTTGGAAACCTGTCTGGAAGATTTCTGAGTGTCCTGGAACGTCCTCCTTCAACGTCGGCGGCACTGGCCGTAAGACTTCCTGGGGACATGATTTGTTGGGGTGTCGTTGGGCGCCTCCGGAGGCTTCGGAGCCTGACGCGTTTCCGAGCTTGGCGGCAGGTAGCGCTGCTTGGGACTCTCGTTTCTTTATCCTGGCAGGCGTTTATAAAAATGGTTTGGGGAGAGGGCGGCAACCCGAGAATCATGTTCCCGGTAAGCTTTTCGGGAGCTTGATGTGTTTGGCTCTCTTAAGAGGGGGGGCTCTGGGGGCTTACCGAGGGGCCCTTTTTGGCCTTGCCGGCAAGCCTATTGGAAACATGGTTGGGGAGGTGGGCGGAAGCCCAAGGAATCATGTTCCAGGAAAGCT